CAAAATACGGTAAAAGATCCTGAACATCCATATTGTGTTGGTTAATGCAGAGACATGAAAACCTTTGGCCAAAAGGACATGAAGCCCTTTTTTAAAATTGCATAAAATAATCAGATTTGTTGTTGGGAATTTGTGTAGTTTTACAAAACATAAAAAGGGTTTTGCAGAAACCAAAATGAAAAATTTTGTTTATTTTCTAAAAATAAGAAAAGAAGAAAATTTTGTCATTTCTGTTTAATAAATTAAAAGCTGATTTAAAAAAAACAGTAACTGGATATATGTGGATGCCAAAATTCTGGATGTTTAAAGACAAATAATTTGTGTTGTTGACAATATTTTCTACTGTAAGATGTTTTATGTGATAATTTTGCTCCAAAAAGTATAAATCTTTTGAATAAATAAAAAATTAAACTGACAGTCTACACCAAACATTTAGTACTTACCCAGATGACTGACGACTTCTTGAAACCCGGATAAACGCTGATCCAGACTCATCCCAAAGCTGCCGACTCTCTAACATTTTGAGTTTTCAAAATGTCTGTGAACAAATAAAACTTAAATAAAGGTAAAAAAATTACAGGAAAGACTTTAAACAATGAAAATTCAGATGAAAGCTTGCGATATGAAGCCCGGCCTGCTGGGACGAATCGTACGAGTTTCCATCTACAACAACATATTTCTTCACCCCAGAGACCAGGAGTCAGCTGTGACCTTTGACCTCCTCTAATATGAGCCAGCAAATCATGTTTCATCAGGCCCTGAACTGGAGGTGAAGAGTGTCTGACATGATCTAAAAGCAGAGATTCAGATTTAATTAATAAAAGTTTTATTGGGTTCAGATGAGGGGTCCTTCTCACAGACAGGTTGCCCCTAGATAAGACTGCTGAAAAATCTTTGAGGACAAATTGATGGCGGAGGATGTTTGTGTTGCAGCGATTTAGACCAAATAAATTAATGTAAATGACGTAAGATTTTAATTTAATTTTAACATATGTAACTTGTCTTGGCAATATTCTATGTATTTGTATTTATTTACTCAGACATCTTCCATGTTCTGTGACTCGAGTCAGTTGAGGCTACGGCTAACAAGCTGCTAACTTCTTTTCTGTTTGTAAATGTATTATCAGTTGGCTGCATGAAGTTCTTACGTTTCTGTAGAGTTACTGGTCTTAAATTCAATTCATAAAGGTTTTAAATGGTCTTAATTCAGACTTTTTAAGGTCTTAAATTGGTGAAACCTGCAGAAACTCTTTGATATTTTACATTGGATTTAGGTAGGTTAAGTAAAAATTGGTTAGTTTGCATTTACTTTTCTTTCATTCACGTTTTAAAATCGGTGCTTTTGCTTTGAAACAAAAAATAAAAGAACAAAATGCATGGATTTTCTTGCACCATTTTGAAAAATGTTTGGGAAACATGACTTGCAATTTATCTTTCCGCTTCAAGGACTCAGTAAATATTTGCATTCAGTCATTATAAATGACTTGGAAATGGTTTCTTTCTTCTTTTTTAGGACATAAGCTGGTGAGAAAACGATTTGAAGTCGACAAAAGGGACTTTGTAAGAGATCAGGCTAATTAGAGGAGACTGAATGAAAGAAATGCTAATGCGTCTGCTGAAGCCACAACTTAACGGCTGCAGACAGAGGAAGGAAAACACCAGAGAAACCGAACTCCCTCCGTTTTAGTGGCTTTTTGTGTCTGCAGCCGTTAGCATGCTGCAGAGCGTCACAAGGGACGCACTGATCATGTGGCGGCAACCACACATGGACGCCTGCGAACACACACAACCCTGACCTTTGACCTCCACACCATGCAGGACCCTGTAAATCAGTAAAAGGTCAAAGCTCATTTTTTCAGGACCACACAAATCGCCCCCCTACAGCAACACTTTTCATCACCTGAGGAATGTTAATGTCTCATTTCTCTTTTGCATCGGTGCAAATCGGCAAAATTCTTAAATCACTAAACTATTTCCAGTTTTCAGAATTCCTGAATGCAAGTTGATTAATCTGTTTAATTAGAAAAATGTACATTTTATAATTTCATGCGTTTTTGTAAATGCATCTCTGATCCATTCTCTCCATCGTTCCAAACCCATATTTTATGGCCACAGAATCAGAATTTATGTGTCAGATCCTTTATTGCTGCCATTTTGGAGGCGTCTGCTGCATACTTTTTGTTTGTTTTTTCCTTTTAATCCTCTGCAGATCTGTGCTTTCGTGCAAACACTTCATGGCTCCGTCACTTAATTTCAGTGAAACATCTTCAGCTGTGTCTGCTGAGGTTGGGTCAGCATGTTGAACGCTTTGTTTTTGCCACATCAACTCGTTTTCGGGATAAATCAAGTCCTACTGACCTTCGTCTTCCTTCCAAACTGTAACTGTTTGCGTTGATATTTTTACCATTTGTGTCTTTGTATTCCAGTTTAATTTAGCTTGATCTTGACGTTGTTTAAAGACAAAGACGCTCCGCAGCTCCGCCTCTCCTGTCTGCGCTGCTCTGATTCAGAACCGCACGGGGTGGTTTGCAGGAAATCCCCAAATTCCTTTTGAGAAGCACAAAGAAGCCACACTGCGCTTTTTACTAAACAAATGAGCTCATTAAAAAGACTTTTGATTAAAAAGTGAACAGAAAGCAAAATATTCTGTTGATTATTAGATAAAAGTAACTGAAAGTTTGACTTTTTGTGGCGCACCACGATGCACAGTTCCTTTGAGAGTCTTCAAAACAAGAGACAAGAAAACATGTCCCTCTAGCAAGGAAGATGTTTTGATTTGGAAGAATTATTACCTGGTTGCACTATCCCTCGCTTGTCTGCATGTGCAGTCGGAACAAATTCAAATTTCATTTAAAAACTATAAATCATCTGAACAAAGTTCGGTTCTGGTCTCTACTGGACTTGGTACTGACAACCGTTCCTGGCCTCTGGTCCAGAGAATACTCAGATTCTGGGTCAGGACTACGAGCTGGGTTGCTCTGACCTGCTTCCATTGACAGCATGAGCCATTCCTGCCAGGATGTTGTTCTTGGATGACCTTGATTTAGTTTATCTGCTTTTAAACTCTAAAACATTGAAGTTTTTGCACAAAAAGAAAAGCTGGAGCTTCAGGATGTTTGTTCAGATCCTCCTGCAGGATTGCAACAGTCTGACCCCGAGGGACAAATTCATGCTGCGTTTCTGTTGAACAAAATGCATGAGAAAACTCAACATGCACACAAATCACCTCCATATTATCGGCCATCTGGAAGCCAAATCACGTTTCTATAAAAATGCATCAATCACAGAAATCTATTTCATTCCTTTACATGATAAAACACAAAAACCTTTAACATTTTTTATGCTTCAGCAGTTATTCCAAGGTTTTATGTGTTTTATTTTTAATCTTCTGCAGGACATTTAAAGAACTGGAATATGTTTGAAGTCTTGATTTGGATTCATTTAGAGGGAAAACAGATGATTATAATTAAGTTTTAATGTTGTTTTGTTCCAGCCAAACTGCAAAGACCCACATGAAAAAGTGAGCAGATGTCAAACAGATTGTCTTACGCAGCTTGTTGTTTTCTGGACATGGACTTTTTCTACTACAATGTTATTTATATACATGCAAAGTAAAACATTTAGTGTAATTAAATGCAGATTTTGACTTAATTCTACTTTGCATTTTAATTTACTTCTCTACTCTCAGGTTTTTAAAATCTCTGCTTCTGCTTTTTGCGTTACTGTCACAGTTTCTCCATCAAACAAACATTTAGTCAACACATTTCTGTTTGGTTTTAGTTGTTTTTTTCTCTGCCTTTTTATTTTGCTCTTCAAATGACTAATTGAAAGGAAAGTAGAAAGCAACAAAAAGTGAAAAAATCTTTGTTTTAATTTTAAAAATGAATCACCCCTGGGACATTAGGCATTTAAAATGTGCATTTCTGCCATTGCAAACTTGCAGAACCGGGTCAGAACCTTGAATTTGGTCACACATTTGTGTTTCCTTTCCCATTGTTCCATTAATGTGATCCAGAGAAGCTGTTCTGGATCATCTGACTCCAGTTTGGTTCTCTATACTTGAGCTTTGATAAACAAGACCAATGAGAAACAATTAGACCCAAAAGAGCAAAACATCAGTTTGAAAGTTGTAGGTTTTATCCTGACTTATGCAAAACTGAATTCTTTAAACCGGGTCAGATTCTCTGCTGCACAGGAGAGGGTGAAAGTGATTGGGTCTGAAATGTGGGAAAATCTTGGTCATGTTTACTGGTTTTGCGTCTAAAGGTTAAAGCTGTTGGTTTAAACCAGAAATGTTAAAAATGTGGCCCAAAATTGGCCTGGCACTGCAAACATTTAACCTTTACTGAAACTTTTCCCTTCAATTTCACTGTAATTCAGACAACAACTGTTGAGCAACTTTTATAAAAAAGCTAATTTTACTGAACCCACATCTGCTTTTAATTAAAGCGTTCAGTTTGTTCAACACAGCAAGTGTTTTCAGGTTCTGCTGGGAAAACATAAAATCTTTTCTATTTTCTTGCTTAATTTATTTACTTTTGTTTAACATGGCAGTTTCATAAACTTCAGTTTATCCAACTAAATATTTGGATAAATAAAATAACTTATTGTAGTAAAATAACTTCTTTTTTTCACCCGTTTTCCTTTTTTTACTTTGTGATCATCTTTAGTTTTTGAGTTGATCTGGAATCTGTTTTTATTTAATGCGTCAAACTCGAGGCTGGGGGGCCAAATCTGGTCCACCATAGCTTTTTTATGCGGCCCTGAAGACTCAAAGCGTCACATAAATTGATCCCTCAAGATGATTGTTGTTCAAATATTATTTTGAACAACAATTAGATTTTTCCTACACTGCCAAATTACATAAAAGTTAGAGCAAATTTAATTGGTTTCATCAACATTTTCAGGACATTTTTGATGTGACCAAAAGTGAAAATGAGTTTGACCTGTGCGATGCAGAATATGAAATACTGACATTTTTAATGAATGTTGTGCTGCAGGATGTCAGTGAAGCTGCGGTTCAACTCGCCGTCGGATGGAGGTCTGATCCACAGAAGCCGCTCTTTCACGGGTTTCGGCTCGCTGAGCAGCCGGCCGCGGTGAGTTACCTGGGAATAAACACCGATTAACAAATAAATGCCTCCTCTGGTGTCAAATATTTCATGGTTTTTGATATGAGCAAAGATTTATTTGTGATAAAACTGAGAAGCAATTTTTAGATGAGATCTGTTACAAATTATTTAAATTTCAGAAGTTTATTCTTGAGTTTGACTCGGTTAAAGCCTAATTTTTTTGTGAAATTTCACGCCATTAAATTTGTATTTTAACTTTTTTGCCAATTTGTGACCTTGTTGTAGTTGGTCTGTTTATTTGTCCATCTTTCTGAGGGTGAACAGATTCAATCAACTTTATTTGAATAGCATATTTCAGCAACACAGACACGGAACTCAATAATTTAAACGTTACACTTAAGCGCTTTAATGACAAACGCAGACGTGCAAACCGCCCGCCTCCGGAGACACGGAGAGGTTTTGTGATCCAAAATCAAGTGTGAAATGTTTAAAATCCCGTCGGCTGCTTCCTGTGTGTTTTTGTGCTGTATACAAACGGCAACATTCAGTAAAACCTGCTGCGTTTCTTCAGTCTGTTCTCCCAGGAACCATCATGTTGAGGCTTTCATGGGAAACAGAAACGTCTCACGAACGTCACAAAACGCTGAAACTCTTGAACCCTCATGAGTTTCAGTTTTCCACTGGAAAATCTGCAGATTAAATATGTTTTTTGATCGTGTTGTTCTGGTTTTTAGGTCTTCCTCAATGCGTGGCTCTTTCCGCTCCAAAGCCACAGCGGGAAGTAAACCTCCCAGAATGCACCTCTCTCCCCGCCGAGGGTCGGCCACCACCTGGTCGCAGCCGGAGCAGGTGGACAGGGTTTTCCAAGCTCTCCGCAGCGGACTCAAGTATGAAGAAACCGTCTTGTTTCACAGTCTGTTATGATTCAACAGCAGAAATACAACCAACTGTTTACTGAGTGACTTTGATTTATTTAATTAGACATTAATTTACAGAATATTGTATGTGTTTATTGATTTGATTTAATCACATTACAATAACACCGATAAAATTTTAACTAAAATATACTGCAGTGTCCAAACTGTGGCAGCAGGTGGCGATAGCATCAGTCTAGATCACGTGCATGGCTGAAGCTGTTCCTGGCAGCTTCAGCATTAAATGCATCAAAACAATAAAGGAAAACAAAAAGATCAAACATTTTTTATAGCTGTAGTCTATGAAAAATGTTTGGGGCTTCTGATTTTTCTGATCTGAAACCAGATTCACTAAGTTTTATTATAAATTAGTTTTAAGAAAGTACCAGAGCAAATTTTGGCTTTTCTAACAAATTCATTTTTAAGTAATTTTTATAAACCTTTTAATACCCCATGAATAAACTTTGATGGTAATCGGTGCATTTAAAGCAAAAAGGTAATTTATTCACTTGCCAATTTACTGGTAAAATGTCCTTGAGCAAGAAACCAAAATCTTTAACAAAACTGAAATGTAATCACTAAATTGCTGACTGTCTTTTGTGACGTTGTAGTGTGTGCAACTTAGACTTTGTCTTGTTTTGTGTGCAGGGAATATTTAGAGGTTCACCAGGCAGAGATGGAGCTCCTGTCGTCACAGCAGAGAGAAACCAAGAGGAACTCCAGGCTGGTGAGGAAAACTCAAACCATTATTTTCTGTATGGTTGGCAACAATCAGGGTGTAAATAATGGAATTTTTTTTTTCCATTTCCAGGCATTTCTATATGATTTGGAAAAGGTAAAAAAGTTTTCACATCTTGTTTACCTTCCTGGTATTTTGATTTACTGGTGAAGAGGAAGAAAATGAAGATGTGGTCGAAACTGTGTTTTCACAGGAGATTAAAGCGTTGGAGAGATACATCCGACGATTAGAGTTTCAAATGAGCAAGGTAAATTATGTTGTTTAAAGGTGGCGGCAAAATATGATGTCAGGCCTAATAGCTCAGCATTGTAGTGACCGTTTTGTGCTTTCCTGCTAGTATTTCAAAATAATTTTTCTCCTTAAAATCCTGCTAATCGTTGTGAAAAGCAGCCCAGATTTTAACAACCTGGCCGAAGCTGTTTCTTTCCAACCAAATGTGTTAAAAAGTAGCCAGACTGGTTCCCGCCCAATGAGTGTGTCAGAACTCGGCTCGGGTTGCTAGGTGATGGGCGGAACTCAGCTCGGGTTGCTAGGTAACTGGCAGGGGTTGCTAGGTGACGGGCAGGGGTTGCTAGGTGACGGGCAGGGGTTGCTAGGTAACGGGCAGTGCCTGCAGATTTGTGGCATTAAATTCAGCAGATTTTTGAAATGACTCAGTTTCCAAACGCCAATAAACACGAACTTGTTGCTGAAACACAAGTTAATGTGTTTTTGTTTTTTTAAGCACTTGGGCTGTTTTTGAAAGTAACAGACATCCAAATGGAAGAATAAAAATGTGCAAAATGTGAATTTTGCTTCATAAATTCCCCTTTAGGTGTTCATGTTTTTGTAGCTTTTGAAGATCCCTGTGCTGTTGAACCGTCACACCTGAGGGGTGATTTCCGTTTGCCTCTGCAGGTGGAGGAGTTGTACGAGACGTACTGCGTTCAGTGGAAGCTGTGCCAGGGAGCGGTGAACATGAAGAGGGCCTTCTCGCTGTCCCCGTCTACCAGAGCCTCCAGGGAGAGTCTGCTGGAGCTCGGCCGCAGTCACCGGCACAGCCTGCAGGTACTGCTGGTGGTTTGCTCCTGGCCTACGGTAGAACAAACATGCAAAGCGTTCATAGGAACCAAGTAGTCAATCTGAAGCATAAAAGTCTAACAAGTTTGTGAAAGAAATGCATGCAATGTGCATTTATTGTTTTTGTAGGTCTAGAAAAACTTTAAATTTTGGGGGAAGCAACTAGAATAAATAATTCCAGGGCTGTTGTGATTATTTTCTATAGATTTTTCTGAAGAGGAATTGAGCAAAGAATTGTCCTATTAAGTAGCTACTGAAGCTAGAAAAACATAAATTCTAGTAAAAATTTACTGAGTTTTGTCATTGATCTGTTGTGACTCAGGTCTGATTAGACGGCTGCAATGTTTGTTTCCATATATGGAGATTAGTGTTTAACTGCAATCATTTTTTGTATACAAATGTTCCTGCATGTACATCTGACTGTGTTTATACGCTAAATTGAAGTGCAGAATGAAGCTGAACCTCTGATTTTCCCTCCTCCTTCCTGCCGCTGCTCCGTTCAGGACATGTCGACCATGGAGGGAGATCTGGAAATCCTCCTGGGAGAGCTGCACATCAAAATGAAGGGTGAGTCCCGGAGCAGATCGCAGTTTATCGGCTTCGCATCGTCTTTCAGCACTTCGTCCAAACACACGTTTGTATTTACAGGACTGATCGGCTTCGCTCGGCTCTGCCCTGGAGACCAATACGAGGTGAGATTCCCCCTAAAACACTGAACATCTGGATCCAACCGGCATAAAGGGGAGATGATGATCAATAATAACGTGGGAAGGAGCTGCAAAGATTACATTTCCTCTGATTCAATTTGAAATTAGCACTAAAGTTGGTGAATGTAAAAGAAAGTGAGTGAGAAGTTTCACGTTTTGTATCAATTTGTTAATGTCAAGTGATTTGAAATTATTCTTCATGAATAAAAAACAATTGATCAGAGTGTTTTGCGACAATAAAATGACATCGCTCAAAGAAAAATAATAATTTCAGACAGATTTAAAATGGAGTATAATAGAAATATCCTTTCTGCTGCTGTGAAAGTCGGGATTTGGGTCACGCTGATGAACGGTGTGAATGTAGCTTTACAGCTGAAGGGAAGGACCTGCGATAACGCTCTGCAGTGCATCTCAGATGCAGCGTTTCGTCAGTGGCTAAGTTTCCATTACAAATATGTGCAAAATTTTGTCAATATTCTGCTAATCTCAAAAAACTACATTTCTCAGTTGCGATATTTCCATTAAATAAGAAGGAAAATTAAAAACCCACTTGAATAAGTCTTAAAAAAAATACGCCACACCATCTTCCTCCTATCACCTCCTGTCGTCTTCTTCTGCGTTTCTGTCAGAAGCAACATCTGGTTTTTGATCATGACTTGTTTGATGCCAAAAAATGTCTGTTGCAGTTTTGCAAAATACAATAATTTCTATACAGCTGAAAAGCCAATTCAAAACTTTGACAGACAAGAATGCTTTTCACCTTTGACGTGTTTCTACTAAGCAAATTTGTATCGCAATTTCAGTTTGTTTAATTATAGGAGCTGCCAAGATCCTCAAACGTTTAACACAGGAGAGTTTCTAATAGATTAATGGCATTAAAAAGTTTTAATCAATCAATCAAATTTTATTTGTATAGCACATTTCAGCTACAAGGCATTTCAAAGTGCTTTACATCATAAACACAAAACACAAAGGCATGCAACATAGAATAAAATACCAAGTGTTTTTTTTTTTTTTTTTTTAAGTTTATATTTGCTTGTGAAACAAAGCAAAACCACAGGCTGGAATCTTATTTTACACCTTAAATCATTACGTTTGGAGTTCTGTGCATTTCTCTGCTTCTGTTTTGGATTAAATCCAGTTATAAACACTTTTTATTCCAAACTGATGTGTTCCTGTTGTCACATGACCAGGTGGTGGTGCGTTTGGGACGGCAGCGATGGAAAATCAGAGGAAGGATCGAGTCGGATGACTCTCAGTCCTGGGATGAAGAGGAGATGGTCTTCCTCCCCCACGTGTACCATAACTTTGAGATCAAGGTTGGTGTTGAAGGACAGTCATTCATCAGTCAGAAATATCAGACACTCGGATTAGATAAACTGTTTGTGTTTGACTTTAAGTTAGGAAGTTGTTAAAAAACAAAAAAATTACTTTGTGAAAGTCATGTCAAATGTTGAGGCTTTTTTGGCCCTTCTGGCTCTCCATACATGAGAAGCAGGAGAGTCAGTGAGGGGGAGCAGAGGAAGAGTTTATCAGAGTTGAGTTTGTACCAGTTTTAAACACATGCTCTGCAGATCAGCGCGGATGCTCACATCAGACTATCGGCTCTTTGATTCAGTTTTTGAGCCAAACTGGAGGAAAAATGATGGCTTTTAATCGTCTCACGTGGAAAATGGCCCCATGCTGTGATGTCATTATTTTAAAAAAACACAATCGGGAATTGAAAAATATGATCCAAACAAAAGTTAAATGTATCTTTGCTGCATCCCTAGAAACTCAAAGTGCACAATAAAATATATTTAAGCTGTAAAGTGGATTTTGAATATGTACTGAGTTTGTTTGTTTGGACGAAAAGTAACTGAATCCTGCGCGCCTGTTTGTGATCCACCCAATCAGGTGATGGAGGCGAAGGGCCTGGGCTGGCTGCTGGTTGGCGTGGTAACCTGCGCCAGCGTGGACTTCTTCGTGGCGCAGCCTCAGCTGATGTTGGTGGACATCACAGAGCTGGGAACCATCAAGCTGCAGCTGGAGGTCACCTGGAAGTACGCAAACGCCCGAAACGCAACACGAATCAAAACGCCGCCGAGGTGCAAAGGCACTCGGTCTGTTCCTGACGACAGGGGTCAAGGGTCGAACGGGGAGATGGCGAAGACTCAGGTGGATGGAGGAAAATTTCAAAAGGGCAGCACAGATTTAGGGAAGTGGCGGGAACAGCTGGTTCTTATTGTGGAGTGAAATATGTCAAACTGTTGTCAAAGTGTTTATTCTCACCTTATGAGAGCGGCCTGCAGATCATGCAAGCAGCTTCTCGACACAAGCTGCAGAAACATTTGCTTCATAGCAGAAAGAAGAGAACAAAAAACATTTCACAAAAGCAGACAGGACCCTTAGAGAAGAGGAAAACCTTTATATTCAGCCTGTTTCATAGATTTAGGCACAGAAATGGGACTAAACTCCAGCAGGGAATGAAGAACCAAACGATTTTATGTTGTCCAAATGAATTACAGATCAGTTGAACAGAAAATGAAAAGTACTGGACTGAAAATCAATGAAAACTCATTAAAAACTCTTCAAATGTGACTAAGCACCACGCAAAACATCGACCCTGAATATTGAGAAAAAATGCCCATGAAGTGGACGGAGCCAAACACAGTGGGACGAACTGGGATGAACTGGGACGAACTGGGACGAACTGGGATGAACTGGGATGAACTGGGACGAACTGGGACGAACTGGGACGAACTGGGACGAACTGGGACGAACTGGGACGAACTGGGATGAACTGGGATGAACTGGGACGAACTGGGACGAACTGGGATGAACTGGGATGTGGCTACAAGCATTGTCCTCTAGTTTCCAGTGTAAAGATCCTATTCCACATTAAAAAGGACAAAACTAACTTAACCTTTTCACCACGTTTCAGGAGCTTCATTTAAGTCAATTCATAAAAAAAGTTATTTCCACTGGCAGATTTTTACTTATGACAAGTAGTTAAGTCATTTTAATCTTATTTATATAGCCTTTGTTTGCTTTTGGCAAGACAAATTGATATTGATCACGTCTGTTGCGATATCGATCATTGACTATCCAGCCCTACTGTGATATTTCTCAATGATTTGCACACAGACTCGGTATCATCTGTTTATATGTGTATTTTTTCCAGTCCGTTCGACAGCAGTGAGAAGATGAAGCCGCTGTCCGTTGGCAAGCAGTCGGTGCTGAGCAGGAAGGGTTCGGTTTACAGCTGGACGGCGCCGAACACACCGTCATTCACAGAAAAATACTTTATAGTGAGTACAACACATGGAAGAATTAAATATTATATTTCATACCATTAAGAAACCAGACTTCTTATCAGCATAGATGTCATAAATTATGTCACGTTCCTTCATGAATTATTATAAACTGTCAGCTTCACCTCTTGGGCGAGACGAGAGGAAACGATGATGTCTGCTATTGTGATGAAAAATTAACCTTGAAATTAAATCGATTTTTGAGGCACATGCAATTCTATTTAAATTATTTCTATGTTTCCAGTTTTAATAAATTAATGACATATTTAAATATTTTATGAGATATTTTTGTTGCCATTTGGCATTCTTCTCTGGCCATATGGATAAAGTTACTAATTAGTCTGTAATGAACTGTAAATATTTAACATGCTCACTATGGGCTAAAGCTACATGGATAACAGGATGCAGCCACAGGTTGTTTTTTACATGACCAGATCTAAAATATCATACAGTCAGTTTCTTTCTCTTGGATCCAAAGTGTTTATTGTTTTTATTCATATTGCTGAATCTGGAGGTGAAACGTTTTTGCTGCCTTAGTAACTAATATTTACACAGAGGAGAAACTAAACATTGTGGATCGATGCCTGATCCTTTGCAGTCGATGGTTCGTGAGCTGCAGGATCAGGAGGGATCCCTCCAGTCCCTGGTGGCCAGAAGCCGTTCCAGCAGAGGAGGCGTGTCGCTGCTCTCAGCTACCTGTCCGACCCGTCGCACACCTGCGGCACGTCAGGCCCTGAAAGCCGGTTCATCCCCAGGTCGGCATCCACGACAGAACCATAAGATTTCCTGAATGTAATAAAGTTTTACACATTTCCACTTGGGTTTTTACTTCTTCTAGAAACAGCCCAAGTATTTCAAAAATGTTTTGTGGCAATAAGTCGATGTTGATTGGTGGAAATAAGTTATTTAAAAATCCTCCTGATGAACCTCATTCAAAGAGGACAGCTCCACCCGTTACCTAGCAACCCCGGCAGAACTCTACCGGGGTTGCTAGGTAACGGGTGGAGCTCTGCCGGGGTTGCTAGGTAACGGGTGGAGCTCTGCCGGGGTTGCTAGGTAACGGGTGGAGCTCTGCCGGGGTTGCTAGGGTTTTCTGTGATTAAAACAAACTTTCGGTGTAAAATGGTCCTTCCGTCTCGCTCGCGCTCACAGCTACCCGTCCACCAGCCTGGCAGGAAGTCAGACTCGGCTTTCCTTCGAAGAGGAAGAGGAGCAGCACGTGGAGGGGAAGGCGGACAAGAGGAGTGGGAAGGCCTGTCCAAGACTTCATCAGCAGAAACCATTAAAACAACGTCTCATCTGGCCTTACCCAGGTGAGAAGGGAAGAGATTTACACTGCAAAATTACTAAATCTTAGAATTTGACTAGTTTCTGGGTATAAAAATCTTAGTTTTTTGTTTTTTTTACTTTACCATCAACTGTTCCATAAAATAAGATCCTTTAATTTAAATGGATCTTTGCACCATCGGTGTTCCATATCTACATTTTTTATGTTCCTTTTCAGTTGTATTTGCTTCCTCATTTTACAAATCTGTTATAAATAGAAACTATGCGCTTCAATAAGTTTAACTGTATTAAATGACGGTAGCGTTGCGATGCTAACGCTGTGAAGGGTTTTTGCAGGTGCAGCACTCCAGACATCCTGAGGAAGAATCCATCAGGAGAAACCGACGCCGAGACGCAAAGTGCAGCTCTGCAGCAGCGAGGGCAACAGGTAGGTGGCGCTGCATCACCTTTAGGTCCAGCATGATGGTGCCCTGGAGAGGCGACATTTCAGCTTTAAAACTGACATTTTCTAGAAAACCTGGAAATTTTGAAAAGTCAAAAATTTGCTAGGAAAAAGTTTCAAGTCAAAAAAATCTGCGAAAAAATTCAAAAACTGAGATGAAGCTCAGATTACATTTTTACAGAAAAACATGGAAAATTTCTGAGTTTTATCCAGCAAATTTTTGACTTTTCAAATTCATAAATTCTTGAGATTAACCTCAAGAATTTTTCAAACAGATTTTCCTTTTCTTTTGCCTCCACAGGAATCTCTGAGCCTCCCGGCTGAAGCTCCGTCCTGTCCATCGGTCCGACCCGGGCCCAGCGGCGCCCAGCGGCGATCGCAGACCGTCCGCCTGGCAGTCCTGATGGCGGAGCTGGAGAAATCGTTGGCAGTGAGAGTGATGCTGAAAAGGAGCAGAGAGCTTTGGAGCATCAGATCCAGCACCTGGGAACCATCCTGAAGGTAACAGAACATCAGCACTGACTGATCCGGACCAGAACCGGGCCTGATGTTCTGTCTCCTCCTGCAGAACGACCTCTCCCTACTCCGGAGCTCCGCATCAGAGGAAACGCTGGCCGTCGAGGAAGTCCTGGGCAGCTTCGACTTCCTGTCCAACGACTTCAACGCAGATGATGACACTTCCTGTTTGGGCAGCGTAAGGCTGAAGGACAGCGGGTGAGTTTACAGCCGGACAAAATCTAAAATAACATTTTATCTAAAGTAACATTTATCTGACGAGAGTTTGAGATTAAATGTGTTATTATAGGAAACAAACTTAGTTGGAAGCGTCACATCAAATATATTAGAAATAAGATGGCAAAATCTTTTTAAAATAAAAGATTTAATAAAGGTTTTGTAATATTATCCACTCAATATTCATCATATTGCTCACAAATATGGGGAAATGTAAATAAAAACTAAATGACTAGTGAAGTTATAAAATAATATTCGGGCTTTTAATAAAGTGGAATATGGTTAAGCTATTATATTAAAACACATTTCATTTATAAAAATACTGTAAAATTATGTAAGAATAAAAGAATTCACAAATTAAGTTGAGAGTAAATACAATTTGATATTAAAGTCAAATCTAGATGCGGTTAAGTCATCGGTGTGAAAATTAAACCTGTCGCAGTTAATCAATTAATTGTATTTTAAATCAAAAGAATCTCAATCATTTCAATTTGCTTTTTTTTCCCGTCTGTCATTCAAAGAATGTTAAATGTCTTGATTTTGGTGTTTTGGTCTCAACTTGCCCTCAATTTTATTTTCAGAGACTTTATAATTCATTTGATTTGTTTTTCTGTTTTATTTTTGATATGTAAAATATCTTCCAGAGTTAAATGTACATTGAAAATTAAAGTTTGTTGATTTTTGAGAATGTGTTCTTCCATTATTTTCAACCAAACCAACAATGTTATCGTTTATTGCTATAATTTCTGGGACAGTGAGACTCAATTAAATGATCTGAAATTATGCTAACTGAGTCTTCCATTGTTAAATTATAAAAGTTCACACAGTTATTCAATTCAGAAATACTTTATTGATCCCAAAGGAAATAAAAAAATGAAAATGTAGATGAATTTACCTCCAGCCGGTTCTGAAACGAATGTTTGTTTCCCGTTTCAGCATCAGTTCGTTCCAGCAGAGCACCCTGAAGAGTCTGGGCCTCCTGTCTGCAGGCAGCCAATCAGATTCGGAGGACGAGCCGGTCATCACCCCACTGACCTCTGGGAACTGGGGTCTGGACCAGGCGCTGGAGACGCACCTGGACATCTGCTGCATCCTGCTGCAGGTACGGGATGCTAACCCTGCTGCGTTTGTCAGATTAAAGATCAAATTAACAACCAGATAAAAATCAACAATCCAAAACTAAAGATCATCACACATACGGAGGCCTGATCCTGCCAAAAATGGCAATAAATATTTAAATAAATGAATGTTATTAATATGCCAAATATGGCATGCAAAAAATTCCCACTTTATTTCATTACGTTTTTTTCAAATATATCTATTTACTGTCATATTTTATTTAATCATTTCCAGAAATGTAATACTTTGAAAAAAATTAAAATGTGAAAAATAAATAAAAGAAAACTAATAAACAATAAGATTGGAAATAAAGAAGAAAAATGAAGAGGGTTATTTTTAAATTAATACAGATAAAAATGATAAATAATTTATATTTAATTAAAAAAGCTTTTTTTTTTATTCAATATACAAAAAGCTTGATATTTGTTTATACAAGCAAAAAAATAAAAAAACATGAAAATCAAAAAAACTAGAAAAAAATAAACTGGATCCCAAATTGTAAATGTTGCAGCCAATAAATGATAGTTTGTTTCCAGATGATGAAAACAAGCGACTTCAGTCTGACTCGACGGGAGCTGCTGCAGGAGATGTCCAACCAGACGGCGGTTCTGGACAGAGTCTGCGGTGCTGCTGGAGAAGAGCGACAGCATCACACCGAGAGACGGTCAGAGGACAACAAGTCCTTCTGCTCACTCCCTTTATTTAACGTTCTATAGTCAATTTTACATGTTTTTATTCTTCCATTTAATTCTCTACTGCTTCTAAAAACAAACGGAGCGCTTGGAAAAACACACTGAGATGGTTTAGGCAATAAGTTTTTTTTGGTATCAGATTAAGTCTCAATCCGGGGCACTGCGCCGTTACCTAGCAACCCAAGCAGAGCTCCAACATGTTTGGTCAGCTGGTTTTATCACTGGAAGAGACAAATGTTTGGTTCTCAACTCACCATCCAGTAGGGCTGGACAATATGGCTGACAAACGTACCATGAAATAAGCGTTTTATATCAGTCAATATCAAAAACGATTGATTAGTTGTTTTGTGTCAAGTCTTGCCAACCAAGTGGCATGACGTTTTTTTGTTTTTTTTAGTTTTCGCCCAACTCCTCTATTTTTCATTTTAATCAGTTAGGAGGAAACACTAACTGTATAGATGCTCAGTGGGAACCTCAATGCTCCTGGTGCTCTTGCAGTCCTGCCCAAGGCCCAGAGGTCCAGAGGAATCCTGCTGTTCTGGGAGGAGTGTGTGAACGCCAGCGGCTCTCCGTTCTACTGCAGCGCGGAAAACTTCTCCAGGACGCTGAAGAAGCGCTACACTCACAAAGTCAAGGCCAAGCTGCCTGGACAGTCGGAGAGAGGTGCAAATCTGGCGAACAAACTGACCGGGTTGGTTCCTGGGAATGTTTTTGTGCATTTCTCCTTGTGTTGTCGCCTCTGCAGTGTTTTCCAGACTCCTGCAGCAGCTGCAGGCCGCCTGCAGGCTGCTGTCCGGCGGCCGGCCCGTCTGCAGCCTGGACAGGGTCACTCTTTTCCAGCTCTCCGTTTATCTGAAGCGCTGGAGCTTCCAGGATCTGGGGGAACACATCTCCCGCCTGTCCAGAGAAGGTACAGTTTTCACTTCTAAACAAATGGTTGAAATAATTTAAAACTCTTCAATTTCAATTAATATACAATAAAAAGAGCCTTTATTATCCTGCAAAGGAGAAATTCTGGTTTAACAGAAGCTTCAGGTATAAAGATTCACACAAGAAAAATGGGTGTCAAAAACAATTTATAAAAACAGATGCACTGAAAATGAGGCTTTAAGTTTTGGAAAGAGTTTGATTTCTCCTCTTGACATCCACTCTGCACCGTTTTGTAATAAGTTCATTCTATTTTATTTAAAACCTAAACTTGCGAAACATTAACAGTTGAAGCCACATATCTTTATACACCAAATAAAAAGAGAGACTTTTTTCTCAGTGTTTGAAGTTAATCAAACTAAACTTTCCTTGTTTTTAGTGAGTCAGGATGACTGAAAGTTTTTCTGTTTGCTAAACGCTAGAAAACTTGAACTTTTTTTTGCAGAGATTTCAGTTTGTAACTTTCTTTCCATTTTGTGTTTAAACATTGAATTTGTTGAGGAGTTTAACCAGCTGAACAAATGTTCTGGAGCTCCATTTGGGTTGCTAGGTAATGGTAATTTTGAATAATTTTGGAAATTCATTTTGTCAAAAGCCAGAAAACTTGATGAGAAAAGGTTCTCATACCTTTCTCTGCATTTTGTGTTTTTAAGTATTAAATCTCAGCAGGAAAGTCTTTGATTGACACCATTTGTTTCAAAGTCATGAATATTTATTTTTTCTAATGGCTCAATAATTTCTTAAAGTTTAAACAATATAAAAATTGTTTAAACTTTTTATATGTCTTGTTCTCAGTCTAAACATTTCAAAACATAGTTTGTTATATTTTAGTTTCTTATATTTATTTACCTGAATGTAGAATACCATTACAAGACATAATAGCAATGAATAATTCAAAAATTAAATGTTGTTGTAACTCATATCATGTTATAATTAATTTTTTTTTCAAATCATTATTGTGGTGCTTTAAAAGTTTTAAGACTTCCTTGAAAATCCTTAAAGTGAGTTTCACTGAGAGAAAAGTGAACAAACTGAATAAAACGTCTTTATTTCTGCTCTGCTCGTTGGTTAATTCACCTGGCTTTACAATTATCTTGTTTTTTAGCTCATCTGTTGTTTTATTTGTTTTTAGAGTACATCCTGTCGGCGCTGAACGGCCCCAAACGCAGGAACTGTTTAAACAAGCTGAGGGGGCGGAGCCTGTCGGAGCTCCTCCCCCTGAAGAGCACGCTGCAGACTATCGCCGCCCTGCTGGTGGACTCCAACCACAAAGTCTGCAAAGCTGCAGCCAGCTGCATCAGCAGAGCCGCAGGCTGCAAGGCCTTCAGGAGCAAGGTGGTTCTGAAGAACCGGACCGGTTCACTTTTTCTGTGTTTTATAGACTTGCTCTGTTTAAGGATCCCACCTTCATTGCTTATTTAAATTGGCTGGAGAAATGTTGCATGAGGTTTCTAAATAATTTATCTTTTATTTAAATATTTAATTTTCTATTTTTTTCTACCCATTTCTAAAAATAATTTTGAAAATTAAAATGTGTAATTTTTTAATTTTTATCACAAATGTATTTAGCTGTCTTTTTTAAGATTTACCTTTTTTAACAGTTTCTAAAAATAGATTTGGAAACTAGAAAATTTCCGATATTTTTAGTTCTATTTGAAATTTTTTATCACAAGTAGTTAGTTGCTTTACCTCTTTTGTTTTGTTGTTGTTTTTACTGTCATTTAGTTACATTTATAAACTTTACCAAAGTTTATTTTATCAATTTCTCAAAACGGTTTTGGAAATGTAACTGTAAAATTTTACTTGAATTAAAAACATTTATTTTGACTCAAAGTTCTTTTCTGAAATTGGTGTTCTAAATAAAACGGATTCATTAAAACTTCACCAGATTCAGTTAAACTTCCCTTTAATCCCTTTTTCTGTGTTTTTCCTCTGTTTGCTGCAGTCGGTGGTTTTCTACACAGAGAGTCTGAAAAGTTCTGATGTTCTGATCCAGACGGGTTCCTGCCTGGCTCTGAAATGCCTCCGGGTGAGCAGAACCACAGAAGAATCAACCGAACAGGTTTGTTTATTCCAGTTCTTGACTGACTGTCGCGTTTCAGGCGACGGAGAGCGTGGAGCGGATCGCCGATCTGTGCAGATCCACAGACGAAGATCTTCGTGGCGTCGCCAAGGAAACCGTTTTATCGTTTGGTAACAGCCTGATCGATAATCGTTCATCACCGAACTCTTTTTAAAGGTTTTTGACGTTTCGTGATGTGTTTTTCCTTCCAGGCAAGAAAGGATTCGAAGCTTTCCAGAGGATGGAGCAGATGTTGGTGGACATGCAGGATGAAGCGTATCAGAACCTGGAGACGGAAATCACCATTTTATAAAATGCAGAGACAAACTTTACCAAAAACCTGCATCGGAGAAGAAGAGCTGACTTTTTCCTGCAGAACTTTGAGCAGAACTTCAATTTACCATTTTTATTTTTTGGGTCAGAATCTTGTTTTAAGAGACTCTCTGTTGCAGAAACATTTATTTAACATGAAAATGCAGCTTTAAGATGACTTGGACTCTTTCATGTTTTTTTTTTTTTTTTTGTGATAAGACGCATAATGAGTAAATATTTGGTGCTTATAAAGCCCAGAAGGACTGAATAAACCCAGCGTGATCCCAAAACGGTTCCAGCTGCTTTGACTGTAATTGAATGAAAAATAGTCAGAACTGAAGAAATTCAAACTAATTTAGATTAGATTTAGTACAAACATTATGAACGGAAACATATATTCAGATGGTAAATTGTAATAAAAAAATAAAGGTACCCGTCATGAATTGAGGACAATTTAAGAAAAAAGATGTAATGAAAATATCAGTCATTCTGGCCGCATTTATTTTATCAGTGAAAACAAAAAAATCAGAGCTGATTTAATTTAAATTAAATTTCAACATTTAATTATTGTAATGAAAATAACCAGCATTGATAAAATTCTGATAATTTATTTTGGATTTTAGAAAATCTCCAAAACTTTCAGGAAAATCTGTAATCGTTGTAGACAAAGTGCTGCCCTCTAGTGGCTCAACCAGCAAACTGGAGCACAGAAGGGGTTTGACTTTTGTCCCTGGTTTTCTTTAGTTTTATTTCAAATTGTTGAAAACTTCTGAGGAAAACAAATCATATTCAGGTGTTCATAAGAGCAAATAAATGTAGAAATTTGGTACCAGAACAGGACGTGGAAATCTGATTGAGATTCTTCCATGACTTGAGAGACGCTGATTGTTTGTGTTGCATTGAGCTACAAATGCGAGTTAGGACTGCGCGCGAAATACATGAAAATTATTTCTGCCAAAACCTGAATTTGCTAAAAAAGTAATTCTCCTTTTCAAATTAAAAAATGTCCTTTTTTCCAGTAAATTTCTGAGCTGAATATCAGATATTCTAGAAAGAGCAATGTTTTCTAGGAAATTTAATGTTTCAAGAGAAAATTTTTGATTTCAAGTTTTCTAGTAAATTTTCACCTCAAACTCAAATTTTCTAGTTTTCTTTTGTGCGCGAGTCAGAGATTGTCTACGCAACGGCCGCAGCGCTTCGTCGTGCCATCAGGTTGAACAGAAACATGCGGTGGCGCCGGTCCAGGTTGAACACAGAGGAAACTTTATTTAAATTAAAACGATCCTGTTGCACATTCAGCAGGCGACTCTCTCCCCCAGCAGGAGCGAACAGCGAAACACCTGGAGAAACGAGCCGTCTGCAAGTGAGGGTCTCACTTCCTGTATTGCTTACGGTTGATAAAAATGGCCGACTGTTTCAGCTTTCACACATCAAGATGGAAAAAAAAAAACCTCACAGCGTTTAGATTTCTGTTGGAAAGTTTCAGCATTTTGTTCAGAATTCATTAAAATCTGTGAGAATGTTTTGAAACCAGCAAACCATGCACAGGAAAGAACAGAAAAAAAACTAGATGGGGTCAAAGGTGAACCATGGAGGAACTGGGAGGAAGCTCAGCATGTATCTGATGGACAGGAAGTGACTCCAGGCGGTGATTGTCCGGTCGGTGTGCAGAGTTTCACTGGATCCCTTTGATTCCTCCTCTTCCTTCTCCTTGCAGCGTGGCAGTATCATGCTGCGGGCCGCTGCCGCCTAGGTCCCTATGATGGCGGGGTCATGTGCGGCGGCGGGCAGCGCGGCGTCCTGGCAGTGGTACAGGAAGCAGTTCCCCCAGCAACTGTAGCAAATGAGGAAGAGCGCGGCGAGGAAGACGAGGGCGCAGATGGTGCAGGTTTCCTCTCCAGCAGGAAGCTGAGCAGGTAGAAGCCCATGAACATGGAGTGGTTGAACCACAGCGCCGGGTTCAGCGGCTTCGGGATCACACCGGCAGGCAGGGGCAGTCACCGCAGGGGGAGGTACGGGGTCAGGGGTCAAAGGTCAGAGCGGAGGTCAGGGGCGGGGGCGATGAAGACGTGGTTCTAGCCAACAGAACCGGGATGAAGGACGAGATCGAAGCTGCTGGAGGTTTCTGTTGTCAGGTCATCCCTGGAAGAAAAGAGCATAAATTAAACCAAAATGACAGAAAATCAACATTTACAATAAAAACATCTCATTGATTTAAATATCTGAAATACTTTTAGTTTTCAAATTGATGTTTTTGTCAATGAAACACAAATTGTAATTTAAAAAAACAAAACGATGTCCTTCAGTAGAAAGCAGCTGGACTAGTTTGACCCCATTTGACCTTTTATGCATGTCCGCATAACACTTCTCCTGATCTGTACAACTTGGATAAATAGATATGTTTTAATGAAGATTATCAGTTTAATGGCACAGTAGTTATGACTAATAATGTCCACACCCTTTTCCATTTATTTATATTTATTCATAACCACTCAAAGTTTAACTTAACTTCTGCTTTCAGTTCCCTCCTCAGTAACCAGGTTACTGCCACAAAATTAACAAAACCTAACATAAAAAATGCAAAAGTCAAGAATTAATATTTAAAAAATGCTTTTGTACAACAACTTAAAATGTTGATATTTAAGAATTTTAATTTGCATTAGTTTTTAACTACTTAAGTAAGTATAAATGACAGAAACTTCGAGAGAAAAACAAAAAAAGCTATTATGCCTTGCTGTAGATATGTTTTATAAATCTGCACTTCTAGGAAAAACCCCAGATCTATAAAATGAGTTTCTATAACCATAAATCATCAAAATGATTTTCAGAACAGTAATAAAATTTGCAGTTTTGAAATACTGCAAATGTATTGCCATCTCAATATTCTGACTTAATACTCAAAATATAAACTAAATATCTCCCTTTTATTCTGGCTCAGCCCCCATCCAGCTGCTGCCATTTTAATCCAGATGAAGAAGTTTTATCTTAATGACATGAACCGTCTCAGCCTGTGACATGTCTGTTTTCAGCAGGAAAACAAAGACGCTGCTGGCTGATTTATTTCTGGCAGAAGCAGCTGTTAGCTCTTCCCTGTCTGCCACATGACCAGATGGCATTAAATATCGCCTGTTGGTTGGATCCAAACCCGGCCTGAGTTCACTGCCCAGCTACCTGCGTTACACAGACTCTCATTGTATCAGCAGGGTCACAAACCCAAAGGAAATTAAAGTTACACGTTTTATTTACCTCTTTATAAATGTTTAGATAAGCTACTAGCTTGATTAAAGTAATCCTATAAGTTTGCCTGAAAGGAGGAAGCATCTATAACACAGCTAGTCTAAATAAAATGCGACATGACATTTCAGGTAGTTTAATATCAAAGTCTAAGGTTCAGTTTCTGGTTAGGTGAATTTATGGACTCTGATTACTGGTTATCATCAACTCTTAGCGCTAAAGCTACTTACCAAAATACAACACGTTAAAATCTCCAACGCCTGTTCAGAAACCCACTGCGAACTAAATACAGTGGTTGGTTTCAGTTATTGTTTAAATTTGGTGGAGTTAAACCACAATCCGGGGCCTTTAACGCTTGGAATAAAACCCGAAACAACAGCATGATGGAAAGCTAACAACAAGCTAACACAGATTCATAAATACTTTCCCGAACAAACAAAAGAGAAAACGTCCATAACAACACGGAAACATGACACAGTGAAAGTTGAAAAAATAACATGAGCAAACCTGACATCGGTAGGGTTCATTCTCAGCAAATAGAAACCTCTCGTTTTTAACTGCTAGACTGCGTATGTAGCAACGGCTAACGAGCTGCCAACGGCTTTAGTAGTTCTTCTTCTTTTTCTTCTTCTTCTTCCTCCTCGTCATGGTCTTTTCCCCCCCGCTTCTTCTTCTCTTGCCAAAAGGCAGTTGCCAAACCAACTTGCCGCCACCTACTGGACTGGGGCCTGAAACAAGCCCTTGCCAGAGAAGTAAATTCTCCTGATTAGGTCGGTGACTCTGGGTTTTCTTTAAATTATTTTAAATGTCATTAATCGAGCAGATATTGACCAGATGTAGCGTAAAGTCCTCTGTTTTTATCACTTTGTTTAGTTCTTCATATGGAAGTGTTTAACTATTACAACTAGCTAGGACACAAATGAAAGAGCAGAATCTTGTTAAAATGAGAAAATTGTCGTTTTATCAACATTAAATTTGTTAAAATTACAAGATATTGATCACTTTACTTCACAATCTGGTAAAATGCAATGCTGCCATCTAGCTGACTGGAGTGTAATAACAGTAGGCGATGAAACAAATGGAAAAACTAAAAATATTATTTGCACTAAATTGATTTATCTTTGGAGGAAAATAAGAAGTAAGTTAATCTTGAATGTTTTCCTCTGGAGTCTGGTTGGTATTAATCATCACATTTATTATTCATTATACTGCTTAGTAAAATAGCCAAGAGCATAACAGAATATGAAACATTTGAAAACATACTTTTATTTGTGTTATCCCAACTTTGTGTCGGTCTGTGGCTGTAAATCCCAATAAAATATAAACATATTTTTAATTATGATATTAATTATAAAACTCCAAAACTGTAATAAAGTTGATTTAAAATCAAAGAAGCTTTTATCATATTTTTATTGATGTATCATGTACTAAATAGATAACATAAAAACAAAATATGAATGTTTTAACTTGTAGTTTTTTATACGTTTACTGGCGATGAACAGGAGAATGATTGGCAATCAAAAAGTTCAATTTAACATGTTAAGAAATCAAAATTACAAATAAATAAAAACAAAATGTTTAGTAAAAAAAATGTTTGTTGCTACAACCTGCACCTTTAATCCCATAAACTGCAAGCAGCAAAATTCCTTATACAGAATAAAACCAGCAAGAGAAAACAGCAACATAAATTATATATATGTGTATTAATCAAAAATCAACTTCAATGGTTTAGTTTATTTTGGTGCTGCTCTGAAAGCTACATGCTAGCTTTTTGTCACTTAGTGGTAGTCAATCTCATCAACATGGGCGCCTGAGCTAAGAGTAGTGCTCCCAACATGGCCGACCTTTGCTACAGGCGGTTGTATAAACAGGTTCAAACTGCTATTACTTAATAAACACCTCACTGATCCCGTTTATCTGACAAACTACAGCCAGTATACTGTGGTATATATGA